TTTTGCTGTTACTTGAACTCATACGTTTTATCTATCCCCCGGATGTCATTGCAATCTCTAATGAGCACTCCCTCCCCCTTTTTCTTTATCTCTAAACTCTATAGACCTGTATTTCTGCATCTCACCCTCCCCCATCTCCATCTGTCTGTCTCTTCCTTTTTGTATTGATTGAGAAAAGTTGAAAATGCAACATATCACAAAATCAAAACAGTTATTCATAAATTATAGGAAATATATTTTGATTTTCTTCTCCTTTTGCACTACTTTCATAAATCTTTACAAAGACAGAATCACTAATAATGGCAATCAACCAGCACAAAATGTTTACTAGATAAAATTGGCCCACATATCTAATACATTCTGATACATGCACCAGATGGAATTACTCTGATTTCATAGAATCAGTCATTTTGGCTTTCAGACAAAATGATGAATGTTCACTTCCTTCAACAAATTACTTTCATTATTAAGAACTATGATGTGGGCTAAGTATGTCAGACATGTCATCCCTTATTTTTCTTGATAATAATTGTAGACAAAATCACTTCTTAAATGTTACATATTTTCATCTTATTTTGAGCTTGCCTTTAAAAACCTACCAAATGATTTTACTTATTTTGAGCTACATTGTAATATACAGTGTATACCGGTATATATATAAATCCAAAGCCTTACGGCAAGGCAATATTGAAAACTTCTCTAGAAATTAAACACATGAAGAAATGTAATGTATTACATTGTCTGTTTTAAGATACCTTTCTTTTTTTTAAACAATAACAATTTTTTTTTTTTTTTTAATGCAAGTAATAGATTTAATTCAATATAACCTTTCATTTTCAATTGAAATTGTTGATTAGTAGGATTATGTTAGATTATTCTATGATTCAAAAGGAGACTGGGCTCATACTATTTTAATTTTGCATGAAATAGGTTTTTAATTAGATTCATAAAGCTCTATAGCTACAACAATAAAAGACTAAATCAGTGCTTATTATCATCTCTTTACACAAATCTAAAGCTATGTAGTCTATGGAATGCCAAGAAATATGCAACACAATTCATGATTGACAGGGAACCAATCACCTTATTTATTTTTTCTTTATTTTCTGGGATCAGCTATTCTATAATAAAGTCATTCATAAACTATGTGTGGTAAAATAACCATGTTTATGTATCATAGTAACTTTACAAATTTTGCAATATGCATTACCGGTACATTTTAAACTATAATATATTTGCAACATGCATACCATACGACTCAGTATATACTTATAGAATCTCAGTTCTTATATAGTAAGAGAATTTACAACCATCCCTTGTATGTAACTCATGAAAAAGGGCCCACTTCGAATCACTGGGTCATCGTGTCCGGTCGGGCGGTCGCGTTAAAAGATTTTTTGTGAAACGAAAGTGAGATTATATCATGCAACGTTCATAGATTTGCCATATAGTTTTCTCAAAGTGTCATGTAAAGTGGACCAGGGCATTAGTAGATGAGAGGGGTTTATTTCACAAACATTAACCCAAACATTTCGTGAATAAAGGTCAGGTAACGCGACCGCCCGACCCAACGCGATGACCAAATGATTCGATATAAGCCTGACAAAAGTGCTTCTCATTAAATACTTCCTCCGTTAAAGGTACTGTTTAGAATTTCGGGCAATTATCCGCACTCAATCCAACATCTATTGACAAGAAAATAATCTTGAGAAAATTTCTGTTAAAAAAATGCAATTTGTAGGCAATATTACTGAACCTTTAATACAAAGTGCATTTTATAAACACACTTATACAAAATACTATGAGAAAGAAACAGTGTAAAATAATAAATCTCAAGATTTAATGAAAATAAATAGGCCTTGAGCTTTCCTTTTTTTCATTGTGCACGATTCACACACTATCATTTTCAATCCCAAAATTGTAAACAGTATTTTTAATCAAGTTAGAGCCATTAGCCAATACAATTCAACAAAAATCCAGTAACATAATAATATACAAATTATAACAATTTTTAGTCCTTCCATTATTTCAAACTGAAACAAGTCATATTTTGTCTTGAATGACAAATATATAGATCAATTTTATAGACAAACAGTATGTCCTAAATTGATATAACATTCATACAAACAGATATGATTGGGATTATATGAAAACATTAACAAAATAATATGAATACAGATAGGTGTGAAGTACGAAACAGATAATTAAATTAATCACTTTACCTAGGATTCTGCAATACAAAAACAAAGAAAAGCCCAGACTTACTTTAGAAAAATGTAAAAAGAGTGCCTCAGTCATCCATTGACTGAAGTTTTTATAAATGAACAATTTTACAATTACTCATACATGTAGCTAACTTTGTAATTTCTTAAATGTCCAGCTCTCTAATCCTTCAATCAAATCATGTCAATGAAGGAGAAAGGAATGCAAAAAGAAGATGATAGGACGCCCCCCCCCCCCACACACCCCTCCTAACCTAAATCAGTGGCCTTGTTAATTCATATATCATCCACCTCATAAAACCAGTTTCACTTTCATGGTACCACAGCTCCATCAATGCCTGGCCCATAGAAGAGATCTGCTCATTGCATCATTTATAATACAGATTAATACTCTATTTTATTATTTAAAATCATGATTCATGATAGCCATTTTTACATGTTATTGCAATCATTAGTAAACGTACAATTAGTTTACAGGAATAGTGTACTTAGTAATCAAAACCATTACAGAAATTTGTCTAAATATTTACTACTAACGTTATAGTTATCTAAAAAAAATATAACTTACATGTGCAGGACCTTGGAATGAGCAGTTTGTGAGCACATTTTTTTTTTTTTGCCCTCGAAAATTTGAAAATTTGCACCCCCCTGGATCCGCCACTGGACGCGTGGACACGTCCCCCCTCAAAATTTGAAAAAGTGCACACAAAAAAAATGTATAGCAAATACTGACTAAAGACTGCAACACACTTTTAGGTTCTGCAGGGCCCAAGAGTGCAGCGTTTAGACAAATAAAAAATGCAAAAATATTCTCACTCGGTAGCTACGCTCCCTCGCATAATATCCTTCAAAATGTAAAAGTAAATACCGAGAAAATTGAAGTGTGAAAAAAGTATATTGCTTGTTTTTTTATACTATAATTTTAGTAAGGAATGTAATTTTATTATTATTATTATTATTATTATTATTTTTAATTAATTTAAATGTGTCCTCTTACCCCCCCCCCCCGCTTATTCAGCGGTCGGCTGAGTCGTTACGATTTTTTTGGGACCAAAAAAAAAAAAGTGACCTCTTACCCCCCCCCCCCCCCCCCCCCCCCCCCCCCCCCCCGCGCTTATTCAGCGGCTGGCTGAGTCGTTGCGAAATTTTCGGCCCGATTTATAAATGTTAAACCCCCCCCCCTTGAAAAAATCCTGCGTACGCGCCTGCCTAGACCCCACGACAATCACGCTCCAATTTGCTTTGCTTTGCACTACCTGATCGTATATACTATAGCCCCCCCCCCCCCACTTTGAAAAACGTTCCCAGGGCCTGCGTAACATGTAACAGTGGTGGTGATGCGGATCTTTTTCTTCTGCCCCCAAAACGTTTTTGCGCATTACGCCACTGCTCCCTCGTCCCTCGCATTTCGCCCCCCCCCCCCCGTCATGAAAACAAATCGCCGCCCCTGATAATGTGAATGAATTTAATGAGGATCTGAGCATGGAGATATCAGTATTATGCATTTGTATTGTTGAGTGCTTTGCCGTGAAACCTGTGAGAAAGTGTATAATATAATAATTTAGTGTTGAGGAAAAACACTCCAAAAAAGTTAAGAAAATTGCCCCGAACAACTAGGTATATAAGATAGCTTAAACAGATACCGAGATTAGAGCTCGTCACGGGATATCAATTGTGAGGATCCAAATTGTTTTATTTTCCTTGCCGGTCACTTTCCAATATTAACCAGCTGGTGAAATGACAGCCCTCTTGAGGACTGTATGTCACCAATTACACACATTACACCATTACCTAGGGTAATTTTTGTTTTCAATTTTTGTTTTCGAAATTTTTGTTCTCTCTTGAATTATTTTTTCAAAATTTATTTTTCCCCAAAAAAATTGTTTGTGAAGAATTTTGTTCTTTTTCTTTTTTTTCACACTTTTTTTTCACAAATTTTGTTTGCCCTCGAAAACAATCGAAAAAAATTATTTCGCTGTTTTTAGCAAAATTCTGGCATAATTTGAATACATTTTCAACATATTTCTTAAAAAATTGGACAAAACAAAAATTAAAATTTCTTCTTAACCCCCCCCCCCCCCCCGCTTGTTCAGCGGCTGGCTGAGTCGGCGCAAACTATTTCCTAAAACAATTTTTTCGCTATCGACGGTGAGTAGTAGTGTTCTTTGTACTGATGAGACTTCGAGGGTGCGCCAAAACATGGGGATATGGGGCGAAATGGAGGTGTATGTTCATCGTCATCGCCCAAATCGTCCTGTGCTCCTTGACTTACAAGGTACTGAACTACTTCAAGATGACCATAGTTTGATGCCCAGTAAAGAGGTGTCTGACCATCATTATCACGCTTATCAACCAGTGCTTTTTGACCAACGAGGTACTGAACTACACGGAGATGACCTTTGCGTGCTGCACAGTGAAGAGGTGTCTGACCATCATCATCACGCTTATCAACCAGTGCTTCTTGACCAACGAGGTACTGAACTACATCAAGGTGACCATTGCATGATGCCCAGTAAAGAGGTGTCTGACCATCGTTATCGCCCCCATCAACCAGTGCTCCTTGACCAACGAGGTACTGAACTACATCAAGGTGACCATTGTATGATGCCCAGTAAAGAGGTGCCTGATCATCATTATCAAGGTTATTAACCAGTGCTCCTTGACCAACGAGATACTGAACTACATGGAGATGACCGTCGCGTGCTGCACAGTGAAGAGGTGTCTCTTCATCATTATCACCCCTGTCAATCGGTGCTCCTTGTCCAACGAGATACCGAACTACATCGAGATGACCATCGCGTGCTGCACAGTGTAGAGGTGTCTGACCATCATTATCACGCTTATATCAACCAGTGCTTCTTGACCAACGAGGTACTGAACTACACGGAGATGACCTTTGCGTGCTGCACAGTGAAGAGGTGTCTGACCATCATCATCACGCTTATCAACCAGTGCTTCTTGACCAACGAGGTACTGAACTACATCAAGGTGACCATTGCATGATGCCCAGTAAAGAGGTGTCTGACCATCGTTATCGCCCCCATCAACCAGTGCTCCTTGACCAACGAGGTACTGAACTACATCAAGGTGACCATTGTATGATGCCCAGTAAAGAGGTGTCTGACCATCATTATCAAGGTTATTAACCAGTGCTCCTTGACCAACGAGGTACTGAACTACATTGAAATGACCGTTGCGTGATGCAAAGTGAAGAGGTGTCATGCCACCACCATCACCACTGTCAATCGGTGCTCCTTGACCAACGAGATACTGAACTACATGGTGATGACCGTCGCGTGCTGCAGAGTGAAGAGGTGTCTCTTCATCATTATCACCCCTGTCAATCGGTGCTCCTTGTCCAACGAGATACCGAACTACATCGAGATGACCATCGCGTGATGCACAGTGTAGAGGTGTCTGACCATCATTATCACGCTTACCAACCAGTGCTTCTTGACCAACGAGGTACTGAACTACTCGGAGATGACCTTTGCGTGCTGCACAGTGAAGAGGTGTCTGACCATCATCATCACGCTTATCAACCAGTGCTTCTTGACCAACGAGGTACTGAACTACATCAAGGTGACCATTGCATGATGCCCAGTAAAGAGGTGTCTGACCATCGTTATCGCCCCCATCAACCAGTGCTCCTTGACCAACGAGGTACTGAACTACATCAAGGTGACCATTGTATGATGCCCAGTAAAGAGGTGCCTGATCATCATTATCAAGGTTATTAACCAGTGCTCCTTGACCAACGAGATACTGAACTACATGGAGATGACCGTCGCGTGCTGCACAGTGAAGAGGTGTCTCTTCATCATTATCACCCCTGTCAATCGGTGCTCCTTGTCCAACGAGATACCGAACTACATCGAGATGACCATCGCGTGCTGCACAGTGTAGAGGTGTCTGACCATCATTATCACGCTTATATCAACCAGTGCTTCTTGACCAACGAGGTACTGAACTACACGGAGATGACCTTTGCGTGCTGCACAGTGAAGAGGTGTCTGACCATCATCATCACGCTTATCAACCAGTGCTTCTTGACCAACGAGGTACTGAACTACATCAAGGTGACCATTGCATGATGCCCAGTAAAGAGGTGTCTGACCATCGTTATCGCCCCCATCAACCAGTGCTCCTTGACCAACGAGGTACTGAACTACATCAAGGTGACCATTGTATGATGCCCAGTAAAGAGGTGTCTGACCATCATTATCAAGGTTATTAACCAGTGCTCCTTGACCAACGAGGTACTGAACTACATTGAAATGACCGTTGCGTGATGCAAAGTGAAGAGGTGTCATGCCACCACCATCACCACTGTCAATCGGTGCTCCTTGACCAACGAGATACTGAACTACATGGTGATGACCGTCGCGTGCTGCAGAGTGAAGAGGTGTCTCTTCATCATTATCACCCCTGTCAATCGGTGCTCCTTGTCCAACGAGATACCGAACTACATCGAGATGACCATCGCGTGATGCACAGTGTAGAGGTGTCTGACCATCATTATCACGCTTACCAACCAGTGCTTCTTGACCAACGAGGTACTGAACTACTCGGAGATGACCTTTGCGTGCTGCACAGTGAAGAGGTGTCTGACCATCATCATCACGCTTATCAACCAGTGCTTCTTGACCAACGAGGTACTGAACTACATCAAGGTGACCATTGCATGATGCCCAGTAAAGAGGTGTCTGACCATCGTTATCGCCCCCATCAACCAGTGCTCCTTGACCAACGAGGTACTGAACTACATCAAGGTGACCATTGTGTGATGCCCAGTAAAGAGGTGTCTGATCATCATTATCAAGGTTATTAACCAGTGCTCCTTGACCAACGAGGTACTGAGCTACATTGAAATGACCGTTGCGTGATGCAAAGTGAAGAGGTGTCATGCCACCACCATCACCACTGTCAATCGGTGCTCCTTGACCAACGAGATACTACATGGTGATGACCGTCGCGTGCTGCACAGTGAAGAGGTGTCTCTTCATTATCACCCCTGTCAATCGGTGCTCCTTGTCCAACGAGATACCGAACTACATCGAGATGACCATCGCGTGCTGCACAGTGTAGAGGTGTCTGACCATCATTGTCACTACTACCAACCGGTGCTCCGTGACCAATGAGATACCGAACTACATCGAGATGACCATTTCGTGATGCAAAATGAAGAGGTGTCTGACCTTCACTATTACCACTGTCAATCGGTGCTCCTTGACCAATGAGATACTGAATTGCATCGAGATTACCATTGTGCGATGCACGGTGAAGACGTGTCACTGTCTGATGACCATCATTATCATCCATCTGAGTCTGTGCTCCTTGACCAATGACTCGGATACTGATCTAGATCCACATGGATTGGAGATGACCATTGGTGATGCAGCCATGCGGTTGAGAGTTGTCTCACAAACATTATTTATCTGTGCTCATTGACCAACAAGATATGATATTTCCACTTCATTGGTCTTAATTCCGTCACACAATTATTAAACCATGAACGTGCGTGCTATGATCGAGTCTGAATCTGAGTCTGATCCATCCACATGAATAACATCAACGATCGATCCCTTTATCTGCATCAAACTGAAATTGGAGATTGTCAAACTCAAAGGACAGAACAGTAAACTAAATTTTATCACGACAAAACGCTAGTATATTATCTAACTGAAAATAGGTCTCCGATTCCCCAATCAAACCAACGTAACCGATGAACAGATATTGAGAAAATGGGATGAAGCGGTAAAAATGGCGTAGTTCTCCTTTAGCTAGACTTTACTCTTTAGACTTCCCATTAGAAACAGTGATGTTGACATTCTTTGATTGGCTTATTAAAGGTACTATGTCCCATTTGCAGCCTCCCCCCCCCCCTCCAAGATAATACTTATTATTTACAACTTCCCTCAAAATGAAAGGGTTTCAAAATGTCTTTTAGTGGGAAAATGACGACCATTTGTTGTCGACTCGACTTTACATATAGTGATTGCAATCCATCTAGTAATAGTCTGATTTCCAGACCCTTGTACCGAATGGTTGTACAAATTTGTGCTGCGCAAAGATTCAATCAGTTTAATTTTGGCCATACAAGAAGTGGGTTATTGATGTAGACAAAATCAAAGTTAATGCTCATGTACCCTTTACAGCTCATTTTGTGTTATTACCAGGGGCGGTGATTTCTTTTCATGACCGGGGGGAGGGCGAAATTCGAGGGACGAGGGAGCATTGTGAACGAGAGGGGCAAAGGCGACGGAAGTCACTCCCCCTCACAGGTTTTTGAAGTTTTGTTGTATTACAAAATTACATCCTTAGCAAAACTATGGTATAAAAACAAGCAATATACTTTTTCTTTTTCCTAACGGTTTTCATAACACTACAGTCTATTGGGGAAACGAGTATGGTAAAACCGGTCACTCAAAGATTATATTTTTTACTTTTTTGAGGCACTTCTTGATCATTTTTAAGCGCATTTTTTTTTTGTTAGGGCTTCAATATTACACCTTATCACAAACACTGATAACACGTAGGGCCATGCATCTCAGATTTAACATTGTTAAATACGACTTCTTTAAAAGAGCTAGCGGAATATTTATTTTGGTAGCACTGATCTATTTCTATAATTCTTAATCTTGGAAAAATACAGTGTAAACTGTGCTTACGATATACCAACAGAATACAGATTTTCTACAATATTTACTTGTAAATTTTGAAGCATATTATATATATTATATATTAGTCTAAACTCTACACTTTTGGGCAACCGTCCAGCAAGAGCCTAAACGTGTGTTGCAGTATTTAGTCAGTATTTGCTACAACTTTTTCCCCACTCTTTAAAACAAATTCCGGGGGGTGGGGGTGATCCGACCCTTTATAAAACCCCCGGGATCGCCGCCCCTTGTTATTATCAACGAAAAAACGAAGTCAGTCAGTCACTCATTAGTGTTTGACAGTGGAGTCTAGAAGGTAAACGGGTTTACTTGCATAATTTGAATACTAGGACACTGCTATAACGTTTAAATGTCACAGATATATACGTGACATATTCAATCATTCCTGCAAAGTTCCGTACACAGAATTAATTGTAGCTGCAAATGAGAGTACCTTTAAGGAAGGGCCTCCGTTGTACGTGTGGTGCGCGAGTAGTGCGGTATCGATCAGCCCCACGTACCAAGGAAATGCAGCTAAATAAAATTGGATATTGGATATTTTGCAAGAATGAACGAGCACATTCAGAATAAGTAGGCCTAACATTAAACATAAAATTACAGGGTGTGAATGTTTTAAGGCAAAATTGCAAACCCAAAATCAGGAAAGATCGGAAATAGAACCCCCCTCCCCCCCCCGGCCCCCTTCCACAACTCGGTGTATGCATGTTCCCTCCCTTTGAAAGCATGCACACCCCCCCCCCCCTATCTCCGGGGTGTAAAGTCAATAAGGGTCGGATTTTAGTGTATCACGGGCCGGACTTTGATGCGTGAAAAATACCCCTTTATATTTGGGGAACGCCAATGCAGGTCCTATGCAGCTATAGAGTCACGAGCCAGTCGTTTTGAGTAAATTAAGATTCACATAATTTTAAAGAAACGATATACACATAAGATATCGTGGGGGTTAATTTCGGTGTATATATTTAGCTTAGACCTTCATCTATCGATGAAAACTAATTGTTACTTCAATACAACTTATAGTTATATTGATAATCATTGGATTAATTAATTCAATGTCTTTCCCAGAGGCCTTTAATTAATTTCCAAGTTGCTGTACCATTTTTTATCAATAAATTATAGGCTATATGTCATGAAACCGCAAAATGGCTGTCTCATATTGCTATTTAATGAAAATGGCAACACGGCTGTGTCATATTATACAAATAATGAATGGTTATGAGTTCAATAGTGCGAATATTTTCATGAGTTGAAAGATTAACATTCTATTCAACGAGGCGTCAGCCGAGTTGAATAGAATTAACGTTAATCTTTTAACGAATGAAAATATTCGCACTATTGAACGAATGAAAAACATTCATTATTTGTTTTATACAACATCGAAGAAGATCTAATAGAACGTTAATCAACAAATTAAAGTTAGAGTCAAGCCTTCTCGATAACATTCAGATTGCCTTCGCGTCAGATACACGCAGGGATACGCGTGCGCACGGCTGAGAGGTACGCAGTCTGCATAATTATAACCAAAATGCACGACCGTGCAATATAACATCTATTGAATATCATGTGACCAACAATCCTCCAATTAAATGACAAGGATCCACGTAGGTGTTGTATATATTGTTTTATACAACACCTACGTGAATCCCTGTCATTTGATTGGAGGATTGTTGGTCACATGATATTCAATAGATGGTATATTGCACGGTCGTGCATTTTTGGTTATATATGCGCCGTGCATTTTTGGTTATATGCAGACTGCGTACCTCTCTGCCGTGCGCGCGCGTATCCCTGCGTGTATCTGACGCGAAGGCAATCTGAATGTAATCGAGAAGGTTTGAATCCAACTTTAATTTATCTTTTATAAGGAGTAAAGCATAATTTGTTGATTGACGTTCTATTAGATCTTCTTCGATGTTGTATAAAACAAATAATGAATGTTATTCATTCGTTCAATGGTGCGAATATTTTCATTCGTTGAAAGATTAACATTAATTCTATTCAACTCGGCTGACGCCTCGTTGAATAGAATGTTAATCTTTCAACTCATGAAAATATTCGCACTATTGAACTCATAACCATTCATTATTTGTATAATATTGGCTATATGTCATGAAAATGGCAACATGGCTGTTATTATTACATAATGTAAACTTTACAGCTTGATCAGTGGAACCACATGTCCACATTGGCTCACAATTGCTAATGACAAAGAGGGGATTATAATTTGAAGTAGATAATACAATTATATCCTGCTCAGTAAAACCCATTTTTATTTTACTAATCCCTAAAACCTCAATCAAATGGCTTTATGAATGAGCTACAAAATTGTAACTAAATTGTACTGATTTCAGCTGAGAGCTGGCTCTTTTTCCAATTCAATTATCTTTAGCCAAATTAGACTAGAAGCCATAACATTATTTGTTGTCATCTGTAACATGACGCCATTTACCAGTTTGTAATGTTACAAAATAAAAGGCATTTCTTATTTTAGTACTCCTCAAAAGACTAGGAACGTAAAATTGCTTATGGTGGTGCGAGGAAAGATGCAATTTATTTAAAGGGAAAGTCCACCCCCAAAATAAGTTTGTTTCGATAGAGGCAGAATAATAAGAAAATCAGGTGAGTGAAAGTTTGAGCAAATTCTGAATGAAAATAAGAAAGTTATGAATTATTGAAGTTGTGATCAATCAAATACAAATTGGCAACTCTGTGACTTATTATACGAGCTCTCCTTCATTTGCTTTGTGCATAATATTCCATAAAATCATGTTTTCTTCGTTATTGATGACGGAATATATATTTGTTCCTTGCAGGGGGAGTATAGAAACATATTTGCAATTATTATATTTAGGGTGCATGTATGGTTGAAATTTTTCTTGAGGGAAAATGAAAATTTTAGATTTTTTTAGTACTGAGCAAATGGAAGTTGAGCTCGCATGATACGTCATAGAGTTGCCAATTTGTGTTTGATTGATCACAACTTCAAAAATCCTAACTTCCTTATTTTTAATCGGAATTTGCTCAAACTTTCACTGACTTGTTTCTCTCATTTTTCTACTCCTATTAAAACTAACTTAATTTCAGGGTTGACTTTCCCTTTAAATAATTGATATCTTTCAATCTCTTAAATTTTCTTCCACTTTCTCTCTCTCTCTCTGTGTCTCATTTGTTCCTTTCATTTTTTTTCTTCATGACTGTTGATTTCTAACTTTTGCTGTTACTTGATCTCGCATAATTTTATCCATCCCCCAGATTTTATTACAATCTGTAATCTCCTTCCCCCCCCCTCTCTCTCTCTCTCTCTCCTCCTCCTTCTCTCTGGCTCTCTTCCTTTCTCTTTCTATCTACACTCTATAATAATTCTGCATCTCATTGACCCCATCTCTCTCTGTATGCATCTTCTTTTCTTTTTTTATCGAGAAAGTTAAAAATGCGACATAATCACTAAATCAAAAAAGTTATTCATAAATTATAGGAAATATATTTTGATTTTCTTCTCCTCAGTTTAGCACTACTTTCATAAATCTTTACAAAGACAGAATCACTAATCATGGAAATCTACAAGCACAAAATGTTTACTAGATAAAATTGGTCCACATATCTCATATTGTCTGAAACATACATTCCAGATGGATATTTACT